TTTTATTTATTGTTATACAGATGGGTTTGTACCGAGATGGGAAATGACAGGTGGGCAGGAACTCACGGTCTCCCAGTTTTGGTGAGTTCTTTGCCGTTAATGTTCACGAAAAGTTCACTATTTTGCCATACAGAAATTCAAAACAAAAAAAAAATATATATCTGCGGATTTGGACAGTTTTTGACCTGTTTCATACGACCGGAAGGTGTATGCTGGTCACAAATGCTATGCCAAATTGATTTCCTACGCAATTAATCAATCTTTGATGTGAATTTCGCTAATAAACACGAGGAGCATTTCTTATAGCAAAACTTGCCATAACAAAATGGGCGGTTCATTTTAGTAAACAAACTAACACTTCTTCCGACTGTGTCACTCGCCTAGGGTTTGTACGGGAGTTGTACTGTTGAGGTATTTTAGAGGGTGCCCAACGGTGCTCCTTCTACTTGCGTGACGGGCTTTCATTGTTGTTTTCATTGAAGTGTGAAGTGAACAATGTTAAGCACCATTTTTGTACATGGTAAGATTATTATATGTGCTTCATTTTGATTTGGGATAAGTGTTTGAACTGTGGCTCGGGATTTCCACTGTGCTTCTATTGTGACATACCCATACGTATTTTTGTGTGGTGCGACATAGTGGAAACGTGTGAGTGTATTTGGAGCATATACCTTATGTAATTTAAAAATCAGCTAGGAAACTAACTTCAAAGTGAAGCATTTTAGTCACTTGAAGGTGTCACTTGGGACAAACTGATATATAATAAGTATAGGTCAAAGTCGAAAACAACTTGAAACACGTTAAATTTTGGATAGCATGCACAAGTGCAGGTACTTAATAAAGCATGAGTTATGGTTGATTGGGTGGATTAGAGATTTCAATTATTTATTAAATTAGGCTAATGAGATATCATAATCATCAAACGAAAATTTAGACAGCCTAATGACATTAAGTAGATTGAAAAAGGAGTTAGGATGCGGGGTCCGCTTAGGGAGGCAACTAGCCTTTTCATATATTGTCTGTTTATTTTGATGGTTGCTTTAAAATATCAATTTGGTATATATGTGAAAGGATGAATCAGTGGGAGATGGATTTTCGGTTTCTTTACATTTTGCAGCACAAATCTAGTACTAGGTGTCATTTCCTCCAAACCCCCCAATTACCGACCTCTTCAATCCCTTCCTTTTCCCATGGCGTTCAAGTGGTCCGCATAGACTATTCAGCCATTACCCTTCCTTAATCCTCGGCTTTGGATTGACTTGCACTCCCATTGCCCCACCAAACGCTGCAAAATGAAAATGAAAATGAAAGATTGGATCGAAATGTTTCTGGATAATCTGACAGAAATTTAATTCTTTACATAGCGTTGAAGATAGAAATTCATCGAAATATTCTATATTTTGAACCCAGCATTGATTGTTTAATGTTTAAAGAAATTAAATAAAAATGAATAGCTTATTTTAACGGCATACTTTTTTTCTCATCCACAACTTTGAAAATTAATGCTCGATAGAAAAAAAATACTAAAAAACATTTGGTAATATATTCCTGCATGCGTATCGAACAACAACAGCCATCGATGCTTGAGCTTCACAGCCGCCCGTGGAATGGAAGTCCTTGCCCGCAAAGATATCTGAAAAGTCACTTAGAAATCACCTGGCCAAAACAGGTACAACCTAATTGCCCACATTTTAATTGCCGGGAATTTATTCTACTACGATATTATTAACGTTCGCACGTACCCCAGTACGATTGAGTTGCTGTTTGTGAGACGGTGCAAGTGAAAAAGTCAACTGCGGATAATCGAGTCCGAGCTAAATACAGCACACGAACTTTAAAAAAATTATCTCTACTGCGAAACTGATCAATCCGGCGGCGGGTGACATCTTTTGGAGAAAACTGTAAATCGATCCGACTTCTAGGCAAAAATGTATTATTATTTTACTCCATATCCCACTATATGAACACATTGGACTAACGTACCTCCACTATTGGTGCGTTTACCCTATATGTGCGGAATACTTCACCTGAAGCGAAGACATCATATCAAGAAGACTGTAAACTTTGTCACAACCCAAGCGAAAGATACAATAGCGCTGCACTTGAGCGAAGGTGGACGCAACGCATAGAAAAATGAGCAAATACACAAACCATTTTTCTGAGAATGTAGTCTTTGCTATCAAATTCGTTCGAAGCATTTACCTTTGAGCGGCAGATGACGCGATTGTACCTGTCTCATAGCGTTTGTATGAGAAAATGGAGGAGTTTCCAACTTTTTAGTTCCATCCTTATAGTACACTCAGGGACTCCACAAAATGGTTCCGGACCGATGAAGTTCTATGCCGAAGCTCGTCTTGCTAGACTGTCGGCATTTTCATTTCCTTTAATGCCACAATGGCCGGGCACCCAGTATAAAGTGGATGCACTACAATCATGTCGAAAATATGGTGTAATATTTCTTGCTAAAAAGGACAAAATTATCATTAATACAATCCATGAACTGACATTACGCTGCTTTTACTGCATTTGTTTATTTATGTGGTCATAAAAATTACATGAAATTTTCGACATGATTGTAGTGCATCCACTTTGATGTGATATCAAAATTATTTTTTTGCTGTGAGCTTGGCTATCCGAGAATATACAGATCTTGGCAAACCTATATTTTCTTGTTAGACAGATGTTTGCACATTCGATGAATGCTTGAATTTCTGCTTGAAGTACTGTGGGACTATGTCCCATTGGTATAATTTTACTGACTCCAGGGCCAAAGACCCCAGTTCCCAGTATCTTCACCCATCTTCGAGCCGTCGGTGTAAAATATAGATCCTGGACGTATGTTTGGCCCACCAGACTCTCATGTATGGCGGCTTGGTTTAACCATTTTGAAGGGAACATCGTAGTTTGTCTTTGTTACCAACCAATCTTCTTTTGTTTTTACAGCTGAATTTAACTTGAAATCCTGAAGGATCTTTAGATGTCCTACCAAGGTACAATCTAAAAGTTTATTTTGACGATCAAACTGTAATGCACTTTTTGCTGCCTGTAGTTTAACAAATTGGTGCAAGCGCAACATATTGAGAACGACATCCAAAGCATCTGATGATGTGCTTCTCATTGCTTCTGTCATTGATATAATTTCATTTGTTTTGTTCCACCATATCAGTGAAGCATAGTTTATTTTTGGTCGAACTATGGCCGAATATATCCAGTGTACCATATTCGGTTGAAGTCGCCACGTTTTCCCCACAGCTTTACTACAGACCCATAGCGCATTTGTAGCCTTAGTGATAACCTTGTCAAGATGAGAGTTCCAGTTCAGTTTCCTATCCAAAGTAACACCTAGGTATTTAACTTCATCCGTGAACTGAATTCGAACTCCATCTAGAGTAGGCTGTGTGAGCATATTTTTTTCTCCTTTTGGTGAAAGGAACTATGACAGGAACTATGAACTATGAAAATCCATCAATGCATCTACAGAAAACAAAATTATGGCTCCGGATAATTGAGCCATTTTTTCCGGATAATCGAGCCCCGCATAATCGAACTTGCGGATAATCGAGTTCGACCTATACCGTCATTTAATTAGCAACTGTCGGAAGGCCTCAACGTACATATCACACAAAGTTGAGGGCACGGATCACTTCATAGTGGCTCACAGATGACCTGCGGTTTATAATTATGATTATGTCTAAAGCATAACGACAGCATGCATCTTCATTTCGCCAACCAGCTTTCTAATCACACATGTGAACTATTAGGAGATCTTACTTGGCTACATTATTGCATTCAATCCGTAAACTAGCGAATGCCAAGTAGGGTAAACGTTCCGATAGTTGTGGTTCGTTAGGTTCCTAAAGTTGTTTATGGAGTCTCCACAAGCAACTACAGGAACCTAACGCTTCTAACGTACCGCAACTATAGGAGCGTTCACCCTATGATAGAACCACATTCCACTTTGTCTTACATATGTGGAAATCGATTAAACCACTCAAGACGATGCGATGCGCACAAAAATACAAACATAACGAACTGTTGGTCGGCATGGCTTCGGTTCGGTCAATCGTTCAACAACAATAAAACCTTAATCACTTAAACACTTGTCAAACTGCAAATCACATTGCTGATGAGCAGCCACCGCGACATCAAGTTTGATCAGCCGCTCTCCGTGATAGACGGCCTTGCATAACGCATGGCTTATTACTATTATTGCTCCATGTTTTGATGGGATATGGCATTCTTTTTTGGGCACTTGAATCTCTTCGTCTTTTTTTGTCAACTTGCGTATTGTGACCTCTTGGCCATCTTTGGCGTTCCGACACGAGGGGATGGCAATTGCGAAGACCCGCGTGGGTGATTGCCGCGAGGCTGTCCGTATTTTTCCATACTCATCTCGATTTATTACCTTTGATGATTGCTGCACGGATCGAACACTCGACGGGAATGTCAAGCTGATATGGGTATTGGGCACTTGTTCCCTCAGGGTGAACGGGGCTCCCAAATATCCAAAACCTCCTTGGACGGATGGTGTACGGTTGTTGCTGTCGAAATACAGCCCCCGCCAATTTGCCAATGATGACGACGATCGGTGCCTCTCAAGATCCCACAAGCGTTTCTGAAGAACCCAACCAGCAGCAGAAGCAGTGCCGTGTAGGTACGTTCACTTTGTCGGATCCCCACAAAGCGCCACCCCAAAGATAGTGTTGGTAGGCAAGAGAGAAAGATGCGCGCGAGATACTAAGTCGAAGGTACCGTCGCTGTCGGTCTCTCTGCTTGCTGTGGTAGGAATGGGTTTTCGGCGTCGCCGCCGCTGCTGTGGGGGTCGGAGGTGGTAGGTACAAGACGGATTGTAGTTTGTTGTATTATATGTGGCGCGAAGAAAGAAGAAAAACCGTGGTAAGGTTGTTCGGGAGAGTACCCTAGGTCTCGTCGCTGTGGGTTCGGGACGGCGTGGTACAAAAAATAAAACTATCATTTCGTGGCCGCCTGGTTGGTTGGTATAAAGACCGCAATTTGGCCGACGGAAGGCACACTCGGTCACAACACTCGTCTCAGTAAACATCTAAATTTTCTTTCCCCTAAGTATAATGAACACATTTGCCGTGGTAAGTTCAAGCAAGGATACTACGAAGGAAGAAGAACGGTGTGAAGGATTGGTTCGGTTGGAAGGATTCGTTTCCTTGTGAAGTGAAGATGCTCTGAAGTATCTTGAAGATTGGAAGCGAAAGTGTTTGCAAATAGCAGTGAACAATATGGACTTGGCTCTATGAGAAGCGTCTAGCACGATAGGACGACGATGAGCACTCTTCAGTAAACAAAATATTTGCAGAAGGCTTACAAGTGAAAGTGATGATTCCAAACTCAGATGGTTTTGAGAGGAATAAGTTGTATTAATATTGTATAACTATCAGATGTGACCGTTGATTGAAGGAACATACAATATAAATTTTAAAATTGTGCGATTGGTTTTGTAAAACTAATGAGATGTTTTATCGATGTTCTTCTGGAAAATGATGCGTGTACGGTGGAAAGTCCAAGTTGGAGTTTTGTTTCAACTATAAATACCATCTGATGAAAAGTTCAACGGATACTGTACATACTGTACTGTATTGAAATTTTCACTCCACAGTGCTCAATCGGGTTCAAATCGAGTCCTGAATAACTTTTCAAAATTTAAACTCATTTGGTAAGAAACTGACCATTTGAAATTTAGATGGAGATTACTATTGGAAAACCAAAATTTGTGTTCGTTGTCTCTTAACCTTTTCCATATTACACTGTTAAAAAGTTCTATAACTATTCTAATGGGAAATCAGCTACAATTTTGCAAAAGATCGTTTTTCAGCCAAACGTCAAATTAAATAGCTATTAATTGTTTAATAGATTGATAATCTTATGGCATGATCAAGCCGATCAAGCAGCTGTTTTGTGGCAACACTGTGTTGTGTAATGAGACATAGTAGCCATGATTTTTGTGCTCTATTCTACGCGCCAGAAACGTCATTATTGGCTGATGAACAGTTCATTGAGCATAATCATAAGACATCAGTGACTAGAATCATGAATATCTTTTGTTCCTTACATTTGATTGAAAAGTGGTCTGCTACAAAGTTGTAGCTGAGATAATTCTACAAATCTAGAGATATGAAAAAAATATTGGTTTTCCCATAATAAATTCCATATAAACTTAAAGGTTTGTGTCAAGTTACTTTCTCAATAAATTAGATAAAAATTTTTGGAGGCTAATCAGTACCCAATTTGAAAACGCTTGAGCACCGAGGAGTGAAAATTTTAAACTTTGCATCAGTCTTCTGTTCATCTTACTGGATTTAATGCACTTACATGAGCTTGTCCCTACTCTCCGCTTAGTGTTCTTTTAAGCACTTTTACAGATATTAATTGAGAGCTTACAATGCCATGATATTCTATGCCTAGGGAAATCAAGAAAATTTCCAAACTGACAGATTTTCAAAACTGGACCGGGAATCAAACCCGCCGCCTTACTTGACTATGCTTTCAGAGGTCCCACTGTATAGTCATACTTATCAATTGAACCCTGTAATTGTATCATACAGTTGCCATACGGATTTCTATTGCTAACTTACAGGCAGCGGGGGTTGCGTTTTTAAACTTATTCATACAAATATCAAAAAGTATCTTTGGCACATTAGACATTGGATTTGAGATTGTTGTAGTGCCGTTTTCACTGAGGATCACGGGTTCAAATATCATTTTCGGCATGGCAAAGTCTAAGATCAAATGAAAACTAAATTTAATGTTATGATGTCGCTGATAATGATTACTCAGGTTGATGTCGTTTTGGTCGCTTTAACGCTTGAAATGTGCTAATATCGGTGAGAGCAAACTGAAAACTCAACTTGATGGAATTTTTTCTGAAATGTTCTGATAAGGCAATGAAAACAAAACTGCAACAACATATTTTTGAAGAGCAAATGCACAGCAAAATTAAAGCAAATTAGTAATGTTGATATCATAATTTGATTTCGATTTGCTGCCATTTTGATGCTGGACTTTGCTTGGGTAGAATCTAGTGAATACAGCACACTGCATTGATTGTATAGCAAAGCCCATAGTAACAGGTCAACAAATACTAGGGGTAATATTATTGAATTTACAGGGATTTCGAACATTGAAAAGTGCTGATAATTGCAAACATCACATCACATTGAAGGGTCCCAGACAAATTTGATTAATTCCTCGTTTAGATTTATCTTCACTCTTTGAATTTAATTGACTTCATTTCATTGGTTTTCATTTACCTTAAAATATCTTCAATCCGATAAAAATGATCAATTTACAAACAAAGTCATGTTGATACTGAAAAGCTAAGATCTTATATTCAGTGTTTAATTTGTATTAAATTAAATAACTTTTACTAAAATAACGTTAATTGTTAAACAGTTACAATACAGCAATTGAAACTATTTAACTATACTAATTATACAATTCGTAAATAACATATGATGAAATTATCATAAGCTCAATTGACTGCACACTTCGCGCGCAGTTAGTGCTCCGGTACTGGCTTAAGCTAACATAATTATCCATCGAATCAACAGAACAAAGGCAATTCCAGGGTGTGAATTGAAATTGTGCTCACACTTTCCACACAATCTGCACAACTTACGCAAATGAATGCTCTCACTGTCTGTCACAAGATCTGCTTTGCATCAAACGAAATCGTGTAGCTCAACTGAGCTCGAATGCATAGGTGAAATACCTCAGAGCATCCAACTCGTCGAATCAATTCAAAGTGCCGTAGAGATGCATGGTTACTCACCCTCACCCTCGCTTTCTTCTTCCAGTTTTTGGCCTTTGCACTGGCCACGGTTGCCGTGGCTGAACCACCATCCGGTTACAACTACAACCGACCATCGTCGGGTGGAAACCGGGGTGGATATTCCCATGGCGGCGGTGGTGGTGGCGGCGGAGGCGGTGGCTACCCCAGCGGAGGATCCGGCTATGTTAGCAGCTTCAGCAGTGGCGGAAGCTTCTCCAGCGGCGGTGGTAGTCTACAAAATGTTCCAGTCGGTGGACAAACCTCCGAGGGTCTGAACGTGGACCCACAGCTGTTGAACGAAATCCGTCAGATCTTGCTCCGTGAGGAAGGCCAGAGCTCGTCCTCGGGTGGATTCGGAGGAAGCGCACCAAGCGGATCGTATGGCGCACCAAGTGGATCCTACGGTGCTCCAGCTCCAGTCTACGGAGCACCGGGAGGTGGATCTTCTCGCGTCGTAGGAATCGATCTGGAAGGAGTAAGGCAAGCCATCCAGGTCGCTCAATACCTGCAGACTGCCACTGGTGGATCATCCGGCGGATACCCTTCGGGTCCATCCGGTGGATATCCTTCGGCTCCATCCGGTTCGTATGGTGCTCCATCTCGCCCATCAGGCAGCTATGGTGCTCCATTCTAAGGACTGATAGCAAACAAACGAATCCCACACAGGGATCCTGAAGTAGCAAATCTTCAGCCCGCCAACAAAGCACCAAAATCCCCCACAAAATCAATTGGGGATCAGAACTGGCCAACGTACCACGGATCATCCGATAAAATCCAACGAGCGTAGCGAAAAAAATGTCAGAAACAAGACTTAGAACATGCCACCACCATTACAAAGAACAAAAACACGCACATTCAACATACTTTCACCTATACTTTCAAACGGGTCTGAGCGAGCGGAGCTTTCCGCCGAGTGTCCTTCTCCCCTCTGGGACCACCATTATAGGTTCCTCTCCATTATCGGGAGTTGGACAAACGTCGGTCGGTTCCGTCACAGCAGCAACCGATGCTGTAGTCACCATGTTTCTGTGGAACGAGATTAAAATCCCCATTCAGTCAGTAACGAACCCCGGAACAACATCGACCGGAATCTCAGCAACACGCAATACTATATGGCTACTGCAGCGATTGTTTCGACGAGAGAGACAACAGACGGGAACAACTTTTGTTATTCATTTGTTTTTGTACATACTTGAAAAAAAACACGTTTTTATCTCTCTTTTATCTAGTTACTTTGTTATAGTTGTTTTTGTACCGAGGAAGTGAATTCGTAACCGAGAAAACAAAAAAATTAAAAAAATAATAAAAAAATCGAAAAATTTGTCACCGTTAAAAAAAAAATCGTTTGTCAATATTTAGTTTTACAAAAATATCACAACATCCACTTTCAATCATGCGCATACCATATTTGTATTGAAGTAAATTTATTGTTTGGGAAATAACGCTGAACCATTCTCATTTTTAAGATTGATGTGGGCATTTTGGTTGCCCTTTGGTTTCATAAATTGGTAAAAGTTTTAGTAGCCCTAAACATTTTTTTAAAATTTTGTCCCTACTTTTTAGTGTATCAATGTATTTTTTGATGAATGTATTTTTTATCAAGAATCACCAAGTATTAGCTTTCATGCTCTTGGTTTCAATATCAAACTTATAGGAAATATCTTTCTTTTTTGTGAACGAAATTCAAAATGGTATAAAAAAACGATTACATCAAATGACACATTTCAGGCTCAAATATTTTGCCAATCATTTATTTGGTAGCCTCAACTGTCTTAAGGTGGAAGTGAGTAAATGAAAATTTCAAAAATGGTTATCTCTGAGAAATCACATCAGATTGCCAACAGTTCTCGCCAAGGTTTTCCTTTTATTATTTTTCACAAAATGACGAGAGCTTTTTTTCAATGTGAAGTGATGTCTTAGAGATAATCATTTTTGAAATACTCACCCATATCCGTGTTTTCGTTCAATCCGCATTTAAAAAAAAAAAACTTTTTTGTATGGAAAATACGGTTTGAACGAAAACGAGAATATGGGTGCATTTACTCACTAGGTCCCTCTTAAGATACTGTGGCACTGAAAAGCTTTTACAATTTATTGATTTCACTATTGATCAGTTTCAGGCAAAATAGCGAAAAAATGAGTTTATGAATCGACCTTCTCCGATTTGTTTGAAACTTTGCGTAATTGCGATTCAAATTTTTACTAAAATTCAGCCGTTTTAGATTTCGAAAATTTTTCAAAATTGTACCTTTGAAAATTTTTAAAGCACTGTTCCATGGAAACGGCATTTATGATGGAAATGACGTCTAAGATAAAATTGTAGGGACAAATGATGTATTTCTTGGAAAAATAAACATTTTTTTTTATTATCTCAAGCAAAAAAAAAAAAAATCCCCAAAACACGAAGAAAAAACTATCGTCGAAACAAAAATATTTGAGGTAAATTTAAACATAAACTCAGTTTGTTCTGGCCACAAACATAAATTAGGTTGATTTCAAACATATTCCATTTTTGAAGTCATGTGAAATAAATGTTTAAAATAAAAATAATATTACGTTTATTTCAAAAATATTCGTGTTGAAAATAAACGTATTTATTTTTGTTTGTTTTGACAGCTATGCGAACAATAATAAATATGTTTATTTTAAACTTGCTTCTCATGTTTAAAATAAACATACATATGTATTTTGAAATTATTTTAGTAGTTGAGTGCAGGATAAAGCAAAATAAAAAGGTTTGCAAAGAAATGAAAAAAAAAAAGATCTTCGTGCAGGGCATCTTAATTCCTGCTCTTTTTTGGGTGCGATTAAGGGTGACCTGTGGGTATTGGAGTCCTGGTCCGGGATGCGAGGACCCGTCGGGATGGGTGTCCGGGGGTTCCAGTTCAGTGGAACCAGTGCAAATTTGTGTTATTAGCGTCGTTTTGTCGTTTCTGCCTCGGTTTCTGCCACTGGTCCTCATACCGGTTTCTTTCTATGTTCGGTGTCGGAGAAGGATCCGGAATGGATTCGGAATGGATGGCCGTTTTCTGTTGAGGTTGAGCAAAGCTGGGGCAACTTTTTCCGAATGTAACAAGAAGGAAATAAAAAGCGAGGGGGACGACTCTATCTACGATGCAGAAAAGATTGTGTTTTGCTGTGGGTAGCTGCACGCACGCTGAGTAGATAGAAGGAAGATTTATGTCGATTTTGAAGATTTCCTGCAAAAAGATGAAGCGCGATACAAGTATATGCGAGAAATGAAAGATGATTTTTCGAAGATTGATTCGCTAGTGTGAGATTTTTTGAGCATCTAGAATTGAGATTTAGATGTGTCGCCCCCCTCAATAAAAAGGCATGACACGTCAAAACCCGTACCGTGTCCAAATCCTATATTGTTGAAATAAACATGCTTTTGAATTTAATTCAAACATAAATATTGTAGTTTTAAAAATGCTTTGAATTTACTTTGAATAATTCATATGTTTAGAGTATAAACATTTATATTTTTGTTTTAAATGAACAAAATTCGTATCCGTGAACTCAAAATTTCCTTGCCCGATTTTTGCAAAAAAAATATATAAAAAAAAACCTTTTGAAAAAGGCAATCTTTTGGAATGCTTAAATCTATGGACTAACTGACAAAAATTGTAAAATCAGAATTTTCGGTAAAATTTTTGAATTTTTCGTTAGCACTTATTTTTGTGTATTGTTTCACAGAAAATGATTTAATAGGGTTACGGTATGTAATGTGGGTCTAGTCCTTTCATTCGGCCTATCACGCAAATAAATAATTAATTAAGGAATATTACACAAAAAATAAGGAAAATATTGATCACTGATGGTTGATAAATGTGTACCACACACAAATCAATTTATATCACAACATTTCAATACATTTTCAGCTCTCGTAAGTAATAAATCTGGTTGAGAATATCACAATGTTCGGAGTTTTTAGCCGCCATGACTTATAAGGTTAAGATGGGAAGGTTGACTGACGATCATCAAATGGCCTGATTATGGCATTTATTGATTGGAATTACCTGATAATACACACTAGACGTAAAACTTACAGTTGCTGTTTGAATATTTTATGTTTATTTTAATTGTTTAACAACGTTTTCACAAGTAAAACATGGACCCAACTTTAGGGACACATTTCTTTTCTATGTTCCTAACTATGGCCCATGAAATTCATTTGACAGCATATAGCAATAAGAGTAACGTCAACAATGTTGTTTTGCATTTGGATGATAAGGAACGAACAGGAAGGGAGATTTTTTCTGCCAAACCTGTATAATGAACATCACAATGTTCTGATTTAGATATTCTGCGGTCAAAAGACGATAAGCGAAATTTTTAATTTTTAATTTTTAAATTGAGTGATTTAATGTAGTTTTCGTAAAATTTTCTCTAAGAAATGTTTTGAGGAATGAAGAGCATTAAGTTAACAGTGATAGTGATAAAAAAAAATACATCAGAAAACGTTACCAAGAGCGTTTTTTTGAGGATCAAACAAGATAGGACGAAGTTGCATCCATAAATAGACCCAATTTGGGGACAATAGACCCATATTACATACATTTCCCTCGTGAGTTATTGTCTTAAAAAAAGTAAGTTTTTCAACTTTTCGTGGTTTCTGATAGCAAACGACATGATAAGCATATCTAAGCATACCATTTAGCAGTAGAATATCGTTTGCAGGTAAATTCATTGATGAGTTATGATTAAAAACGTAATCGATGGCTGCATATTAGACCGAGGTTAGGGACGTATACCCTATGTCTCAAAAATTGTTTTCTGAGCATAAATTACATAAAAATCTTTTTAACGGTGAGTTCAAAAATTTGCACAAAGGTTGTTGTTTTGCGATCTTTTTTCAATTTGTATGTATTCATAATTTGAAACATTCCAAAAGTTTGAATTTTCCATGAGCTTTTTTTTGAGAACAAAATATCAAAAATAAGGCAAGGAAATATTTAGATATTGAGGCTTTTAAATATTTACTTTAAATTACTAGAAATATAATGTTTTGTGTATTTTTCCCAATAATTTTGTCTCAGATGTAATTTCGATCCAAGGGGTTGGTCACTCTACACAGTGGGCCAAAATCAAACTTGGGCACATCCGGGCACAGTCATTGGCGCTGTTTGGCACCCATGGTTACAACCTTTATGATCTTTAAGGTTACTGGCAACACTGTAATTTTTCTGCGCCTGCGCAGTGTGCATGTGTCAGAATTTGTTATTGATGTTGTCACAATACAATCTAATTTTTACAAACCACAACCGTGAATCTCCATCAAGTCCCGCCAGTGATTCTCCAAAATCGACTCCCGTGACCGGAAGAAAGTACGTCCCACGACCGGTTCTGATCAACCTTGAGCTGGAAACTATGGATTCGGTCCGAGCGGGACCATTTGGGCAGCTGTTCCGACCGATTAACTTCGTTTTCGGACAATCCGGTGCTGGTAACAACTGGGTCAAACGATACTACACCAAGGGTGCCGAACTGGTGGATTCTGTGCTGGATGTTGTCCATAAGGAATTCGAGGGTTGCGATTGCCTGCAGGGCTTTTAGCTTACACACTCGCTCGGCGGTGGAATTGGCTCCGGTAAATTTTAATTTTTTTGTAGCGTTGGCGGAATTCAGTAGCAACAATACCTTCCACTCCACAGACATGGGCACGCTACTGATCTCGAAGATTCAGTACATTTGCTTCCGAACATTGAAGCTCACCACCCCTACCAAATTGAATCATCAAGTCTCGGTTACGATGTCTCGCAATCAACCCTTTCATAATCCACATCCTTCGGAGATCGTTCATTGTCCGCATCGATTAGCATCTCTTCCACCTGCAGGCGGAACAGATTCGAGTGGTAGAAATATTATGTTTCCTTCAACCGATTGATTTCCTCTACCGTCGGCGGTTTGTACAGCTGCTTCATGGCTTTGATTTTCCGTTGGTGTTCTTGGTCTGTTCATCGCTTTGAATGGCTTTGCGCTTAGCGCC